ACAGGCACCTTTCCGCTTCTTAGCTTCTGCTGCATCGCGTGCAGCAGCCGCATCCCGTTTCTCCAAAGCATTTGTGTGTCTTTTTGAGGACAGATGAGCTTTCACACAATCTTTGAGCCGACTGAATTCCCGTGGCACAGTGATCGGCCGGGGGAAGGACGTCCCGCTGTTGAAGTTGTACCGTAGTACCCCTGGCTGCGTCGGCTTAGAAGGATCTAGGTCGATGTCTGGCTTGAATGCAGGCAAACAAATCTTACAGACTAGCACATTGTGCCTTGGGTGTGCCTCCACCTCTCCCGAGGCCCCCCTCAGTACCGTATCCATATCCCGCGCTCCTGACACTGACAGACGCAGAGAAGCGCTATGAGACGAGCCTTCCGGTGCTGTTCCCTTCACCAGCTGCTTCAGCTCCACGAGACTCGCCTCTACCCGAGCCATCCTCGCGGCAGTAGCCATACAAGAGCTGGAACAAGCTGCGCCGGCGTGCGGAGCAGAGTGGAGATGTTTTGCAGCAGAAACATCTGTGAAGACACAGATTCTACCATCAGACAATAGCTTCTGACCTTCACACTGGCAAAATTAGCTAAGTTTTCTTAGCTTCACCACTTCTAGGATAAACATGCATTAAATTAGGGGGAGGGGTGTCAGCATCTATGACAGTTCAGAGTTCCGCCGCTTTAGGATAGAAAGCAGATTGCAATATAAACGACGTATATAACACACTTTATCTGTAGGTGTATTAGGTAAATGGCATCACACAATATCAATAGTGAAGCTTGGTTGACTGAGTTATTAACCGACATGTTTAAAACCCCACCAGTGCAGTGTAATACAAGCTCACGGCGTGCCCGCGGGGCAGGAGGGGGTTCCGCGGGGGCTAAATGCCTGCCAATCCGTGATTGAGCTAAAGCCTCGGATGTAACAGACGCACTAGAAGAGATAGGGATGGAGTTGGACAGAATCTTATCACCTGCTTTTCGAAGATAGCAAAAAAAAATAGACAAGAACTGTTCAGGATCAGACATGCATACAGGGAATCATGTTCATATTTTATTTGGGCAAGAACAGACCTGGGCCTTCTGCGGAGTCCATCACTGTTTCACCCGATGACGGCGTGACACTGGCTGGCAGATCTTGCTGAGTGAAGCCTCCATCAGGACTGACTGCTGGTGGATGAGGAGCAAATAGCTCACCTGAAATTAGAAATATTTATCATATCTAGCTCATCTGGTAAATCGCGCCTTGGTAGGCATTCATTTCATCTTCAAAGTGGATGAAAAAAGGGATTGGGATTCAAAGGGATTCAAAAGGGATTGGATCTAGACACAAGAGAACCCAGCAGAAATGTCTTGACACAATTCTAAGGGTTTGAAAAAGCCTTTCTACACCATCAAGCACATTCGACTCACACATGCTACCACCAACAAGCATAAGTCTTTCTCATAAAACCATTTTTACACAACTTGACCGCTTATCACTCATAAAATCCAAGCTATGTACAAAAAGTGGGTGCTGGACTTCTTTATTTCAGCTGCTAGAGCCAGACAACAACATCCAATAAATAATAATAATCACAACTTACAACTTGAACTGAAAAGCACACCTGCTATTTATATTTCAATCACATAACTTTTGGTCAAGAGTGGTGCAATGGATTTTGCATAGAGAGACAGTGCCTGCTAAATCTTCCAGCAAGAGGTCTCCCAATGTGCATTTTATTTATATCCCAAAAGCTATTGCATTTCTCCTTGAATCACAGCTAATTGATTTTTGAAGCAGCTATAAAGTGACACAAACATTTTTGTGTAGCAATGGGATATAGTGTGTTGATTACAGGACATGGGTATAAGGGATGCTGGAACAACACACAAACTGTTCCATGGTTGTTGTTTGTTGGCTGTTGCTGTTTTCTGTTCTACCATCTCTGGTGTGGGTAAGACTTCAAATATTTGGCAAAATTACACCAGCGCTTACATAGGCAGTTAGGCACATAGGTGCACATTTCAAAGCAATTCTGCACACTGGTTTTCTGAAGATACAACATTTCTTTTTTAATTGAAGTGACATAACAGAGTTCAATCTTTCACATGTTTAAAGTTATCTAAATCCTTCCAATGAGTGGCATCCTGCCCAATGAGTGCTGATTCCACAATGATATGCCATGCACTCCTCAAGCTCACTTACTTGCACTAGCTGTAGGTAGATTGCTATCAGCTGTGCATCCAGGAGGGCCAGCCACTTCATCTGCCAGATGATTTTCAGTGTTGGAGGCTGCACTGACTACAACTTCAATGCTGGAGGGTTGAGCTGAAAAAAAAACATTTGCGTGAATGAATGTTCTTGAGAGACAGGGTTACATTTGCCACTAGGATGAATGGATCCAAATTGTGTCAAGATTCCATATCATCCACTGTCTACACTGCATAGTTACAGAAGGGAGGCTTATTATTTAGTTAAGTAACACATTATTTTGCCATATCAACAGATATTACAATATAGCACAGCACCTCAGCTTATTTCATCTAGGAGCACACAATCTATGAGATGTTCAGTTTTTAGACTCTGGATCAGTTTATTTTCATCTACTAACTTTTATTATGCCTGATAAGTTATTAGGATGTCTCACAGGAAAAAAATATGCAAGCTAGGTACTTGTTGAGCTCACCGCCTACTCAGCAACATTGGGGAATTTGGGCTCTGGGAATTAGGCCAGTCATTTTGAACTGAAATGGCTGGGGAAGCAGCTAAAGTTGTTTTGACTTGGAATCCAAGTTCCATTAATTGATTTAATTACATATTTGACCCACTACCCCTTTTACATCCTAAGTCAGGAGAGGTTCAAGCAGCCTCAACTAAATATGAAACAACACCCCTGATAGGAAGAGTAGGTATAAATCAGTGGATGGTAATACTTTTAAATTGTAATGGGTTTTTCGGCCAATGGTGAAAATACCATACTTTCCACTGTAGAAAGCATTCAGAACACAAATAAAAGTGCTGCCAAAAGGAGGACAAATGAGAATTTCAGGTAATGGTGAAAAACTATTTAGGTTTGATTATTTCTTATTTGGCAAAATGCTTCACACTTTGCTTGGCATTAGTATACAAAAAGTAAGACCGCGAACCATAAATGCCACAGAGATGCCAAGGCAGGAATTTTAGGTTGTAGGGTAGTAGGTCGTAGGTAAGCCAAATAGTAGTTAAGTTTAGATACTGTTAGATCCCCAGCAAGGTCCCTTTACCATTAAACTGAGGAGGTTTGTCACCAGAGTTTTACCCTTTTATACGACAATTGTCTACAATTTCAATTTACAACATATGCAGGATGAAATATATGAATATACATTCCAGTTTTTGTTCCAATAAACTTAGTCACTAGTTCAAAATCCAATGGGTGCCTCTACCTGACAGGTATGGGGTACCTAACAATGCTTACCTTCTCCAATCACGTCCACAGGCATCTTGGTCCAATTAAAACGCCGACCAGGCCCGAACTGGCTCTCTGGGTACACAGGATAGACCTTTTGGCCTGTGTGTTTCTCTTTGTTGTGCTTATGGATGCTCTGGTCTGTCAGCTTAACACCACAGTACCCACATTTACACTCTTTTCTGATCCTTTTCGGTTTGGCCTTCTTTGTTCCCTCTCTCCCAACGCGTGCCCTTCCACCTCTCCCACTCAACAGTGGGTTCATGGCTATTCAAACACGCCTCTCAGATTGTTGCACAGAGATAAACAATCTTAATCACCAATATACAAATGCCCAGGCTTGCAAATGCTTGGCAAATATTTAATTTAAGAACAAAGTCACCTCGAAACGCGCCACACACACCGAACAAAAGCTTCGAGCTTCCCTACCGCATTTAGTTCCAGTATCGCATTAGCATCGCCAGCAAACTTGTGACGTCATGATGTACTGCCAATGAAAGCTGATGATCTCAGCCAAGTACGCCAATGCTCAAAATGACACGTTCCACAAATGCAACGAATATGTACGTATTATAGGTGCCATCATACTTAATTTTATATGGTAGTTATCCAAAGAAAGCATTTGTAGCGCATATTTACCATGTTCGGGCCTTTTAAAGGATTCGTGCTCATGACGTCATATTTTCCCCAAACTATTGTTGGGCTTGTCGGGATCTTGGACATCTTAAAAATTGTTGGCCGTCGAATGTCCTTGAACTGACTATTCTAACACTCTGATTCCAGCTACCAAAAAAGTCTACTAAAAATCCTAACAAATTTATCGTTTAATTTTTGTTCACGATGTGAAGACGTCAACCGTATACAAAAAACATCTTAATTTATTACTTTATAAGGGGAAAACAACAAAAAGCGTAAAATAACCTAATTAAAAATTCGAGTTGTTTTAATTCTTTCTTCTTCTAGACAACCAACGACAACCAGTGTATCCCATAGAGATAGCGTTATATCCAATGGAAGTGGTCTTCGGGGCACCGACGGACGGCGAAAACAACCGCGCCGTCGGCGTAGTCGTCGTACTAGTAGATAACATAATGCTAGTAGAGTGAAACAGGTTGGCACAAAACGGTGAGTATGTGAAATTAACGTGGAATAAAAGTGGGTGATACAGATGTCTATGTCAAAACATATTTTTGAAAGAAAAATAAGTGAAATGAAAATCTTTCCTTGTAAATTTGGGTTATGGAAATTAAGGTGAAGGCTTCTATCACTTTTGGTTGTTGAATTTGCCCGTCAGACAGGCTTGTTGGTCGCCGATGGCGTCGGTAGGACGGAGGGATTTTTGAGCCCTGCCGGAGGGCAGTCCGCTGTGCTGAGTAGTTGTTGCTGTCGGTGGGGCCCCGGAGGGCAGTCCGCTGTCCTGAGTGTGTCTCGCTGTCCGTCTGTCGGAGCCGGCCCCCGCCCGCCGACTGGCTCTGGCCAGGGTCGGCGCGGGGCGCGTGGCGCGGTCCGCTGGAGGTCGAGGTCGAGGTCAGTGGGTGGCGGTCAGGTCCGAACTGCCCACTCGGCTCCGTACCGTACGACGAGTAGCTGGAGACCGAGCCGCCCGAGAGCGAGCGGCCGTCGTGACCGGACGACCCGCCGCCGTGACCTGCGGAGGAGTGTCCGGATCCGCCGCCGTGACCTCCGGAGGAGTGTCCGGATCCGCCGCCGTGACCTCCGGAGGAGTGTCCGGATCCGCCGCCATGACCTGAAACAGAGGTCAACAGTACAGTCTGTCTTAACCCGCGCGGGGCTGGGGGGGTAAATTTTACCCCCCCTCGCGAATTTTTGCGATATCTCAAAAACGGCGGCGCGCAGCGCCGCCAAACTTTCAGCACCTTTTCTTACATCAATTTGACACCTTCCCTGAAAATTTGAGCGAAATCCGTCGGAAAATTTTTGAGAAATTGACGTTTTAGTGACGTCATGTTCGCCATTTTCGCCTCAAAAACGGCAAAAGTTCAAACGCCGCTAACATCTTCATTTTTAAAGGAATCAAGACGTAACAAAAAAGGTTATACGTAATTTTACTTTGTCTATCCAATGGCTATCTCGGTTTTTTGAAAATTTTGGATTTTGGCCTAAATTTTTTCAAAAAACTGATTTTTTTGGGAAAATCATTATAAAATCCAAAATTTTGAGTCTATCAAAAAATCGGAATATATGTCAGAGAAGTGGTCTATGTGCACCTACATACCAAATTTTAGAAGAATCGGTTCAAAAATGTTGGAGTTATTCAAAATTTTATGACGTCACGACACACAATTTTTTTGAAAAATGACTTTTTTGGAAGTTCTAGACCTCGTACGGAAACAAAAATAGCACCATTCGATTCGCCGTGAAAAACTGCATCAGATAGACACCTTTTTAGGCCTTAACAACCAACTTCAAAATTTGACCTCACTTGACCTGACCTTGACCTGACCTCGACCTGAAATTCATCCAGAGGTGGTCCATATCACTTATTGAGTGTGCCTATTGAATTCTATGAGTAAAATGACCCATAAAACATGTGTCGCACATGCCCTTTTCTATATTTTGTTTTTTGGTGACCTGACCTGACCTGACCTGACCTTGACCTTGACCTCTGAATGATATTGTATGCAACTAATATTGTCTTGGTAGCCTAAGAACACGTTTTGGGCGATCAGTCTCAGTCCATGACTCCATTCTTCGGCAACTACGGTGCAAGGCCGATACTGTAGAAACTTGCAATTTGTACCCTTGACCTGACCTTGACCTTGACCTCAAACTTTAAATTAAGTACATGTTTTTAGTAGTTCGTGATGAGAGCTTTCGATTGGCGTTTGAATTTTCCAAATCGGACCATTAGTTCGGGAGATAACAGGGGGGGGGGGGGGTAAAATTTACCCCCCCCCCCCCAGCCCCGCGCGTTCGGCTGGAGACCCCAGCCCCGCGCGGGTTAAAAGTACCGCGCAAAGTGACGGTGGATCCATCAAGCCTGACCGAGGAAGGGCCTGCTATAATTTGAAAGTCACCGAACCAATGGAGCTGGGGAATGGACGAGGATGTCCATTGCTTCGGTGACTCAAATTTGGCAGTCCTTCATCGGTCAGGCTTGATGGATCCACCGTCACTTTGCGCGGTACTTTTAAGACAGACTGTACAGCTAATGATGTCCAAGACGTGCCTCATGTATGTCCGCGAGTCATTTACTCTCAGCTGTCGGCTTTTACAGGGTGCTGCTTACCCAACACCAAGGTAAATGGCGAGAATGCACAATGCAAGCCTTACATTTTACGATAGCTTGCCAAATATTTCCCAAATCACCGCTAGCCCGCCTGACTAGCCCAGGTATTCGTCAATTTGAAGCCGATAAGGTATATTGGAGTTGGCACTAGGTTTGGTTGAACTGGTTACACTGGTTTTAAGCTTTCTCACTACCGTATCCACTGTTTGCGCGTTCACCGTCGCCACTGCAAAAGAAATCTCACCTCCACTAGAGGGCGCCCCGTAGTCGTTGCTGGGCTTAGAGGGCGCCCCGTACCCGCTGCTAGGCCTAGAGGGCGCCCCGTGCCCGCTGCTGGGCCTAGAGGGCGCCCCGTACCCGCTGCTGGGCCTAGAGGGCGCCCCGTACCCGCTGCTGGGCCTAGAGGGCGCCCCGTACCCGCTGCTGGGCCTAGAGGGCGCCCCGTAGGTGGTCGAAGGCCGGACGGAGATGTGCCCGCCACCTGTGGAGAGCGGCGGTAACCCTGGTTTCAGTGTTTGCCGATAGATGGCGGACCAGGCGCGGACCAAGTCACCGAGGGTAAACGGCATGGAGCAGGTGAACACTCGTCACACCAGGAATAGCAGACGAGGCAGCGTCTCATATGGTTTCGATTTATCGATAGCATATGTAATGACGGCATAGTGTACAACCAGAAATGAGGCTTTTAAGACAATAATAATTCAAAAACAAATATATTACCCTTGCTTCCAATCATAACTATTATTGTAACAGAAATTTAACGTGTAGGTATGTGATGTTAACCCTCGCCCATGTAGGGGGGGGGGTTGGTGCAACCCCCCCCCCTGAGGTTTTTCGGAAATAGTGCAAAAACGGCGGCGCGCAGCGCCGCCAAATTTTGGGTACCTTATGGGGCAAACCTTGCGCATCTTTTGATAAAAAAAATTGACCGGGTCATGTCAGGTCACGGAGTTATGACGTCACAAAGGGAACAGCCTCCGGCCGGATTTTCACAAACTGAGTGCCAACGCCCGAGGTTTCCTGCCGGTGGTACGGACATCGGTTGATGGATCGTGATGAAACTTCCCATGCATGTTGGGGCAAGTATTGGCTATCATATGGTATAAGAAACTTGACCGGGTCAGGTCAGGTCACGGAGCTATGACGTCACAAGAGGAACAGCGTCCGGTACTATTTTTGAAAAGCGCCCGAACCACTATTTTGCTAATTCTTGTCACCTCAATGGGAATATGCAGCAATATTAGCTTCTATAGGGAGCAAATGGACATCCCAAATCCAAAAATACAATCAGATTTCAAAAATTTAAATTTTGATTTTTCGAATTTCTGCCGCCGACTGTGACCTTGCCGACTTCCGGCGCTCCCAACGCGCCATTTTTAGAGCTAGGGAAACGAAATACATACCAAACGATAGAGAATTGATCAAGGAACACGATAGTGAAGGTTTCAAGTCGATATCTCCAACCGTTTTGCCGCAATCGCCGCGGAAAATTCGAAAAAGTCTATTTTTCCGAAAATTTGACCTTTGACCGGTCAAAAGTAGGTCAAATGTTGACCTAGGACCAAAAAATATACCACCAATCGCGAGATCTCGGCGAGAGCAATCCGTTGGTCTTTTCCGCTAAGCTCTACGACGCTCCGTTTTCAAACGCCAAGGGGGGGGGGGTCGCACCAACCCCCCCCCCCCTGCATGGGCGAAGGTGGCAGATCGCCGTTTACGGGCGAGGGTTAAGTTTGCATGCAATAACATAAGAGTCAATAAAGCGTAATGTCACGCTCGGGCTCACCGGCTCCGCCGTATCCACCGCTGTGGCCTCCACTGTACCCGCCGTGCCCTCCGCCCTTGTTGAACTTGCTGGTCAGCTTGTTGGCCAAACTGGTGAGGAACCGTCCCTTGGTAGTAAGCAGGCGACCTGGGAAACGTTAGGGGCACTTCACGTGAGCTCTATTACAGGACTTGTCCCCCAGTGGTAAGCAGACGGTAAAAAGCGATAAAGAACATTTCACATTGGGCATAAGTCTTATTACAGGGACCTTCCCTTGGTGGTTGGTAGATGGTATGGAGCAGTAAAGAACACTTAACATGGGTTCTATTAGAGGAGCATTCCCTTGCTGGTTTTCAGACGACCTGGGATCTAAACAGTCCAGATCAGGTCAGCAAAACGTTCGGAGCATTAGTGCTCAACTTTACCGGCTCGTGCCGCGTGTGCCGCATGAAGTTGTGTGTGCGGTGTGCGCCGTGTGTGCCGCTTGTAGTTATGTGTGCGCTGTGTGCGGTGTGTGCCGTCTGTAGTTATGTGTGCCGTCTGTAGTTATGTGTGCCGTCTGTAGTTATGTGTGCCGTCTGTAGTTCTGTGTGCCGTGTGTGCCGTGTGTGCCGTGTGTGCTCTGTATGCCGCCTGTAGTGTGTGCGGTGTGTGCGGTATGTGCGGTGTGTGCGGTGTGTGCGGTGTGTGCGGTGTGTGCGCCGTGCGGTATGTGCGGTGTGTGCGGTGTGTGCGGTGTGTGCGGTGTGTGCGGTGTGTCGTCTGTAGTTGTGTACCCTGTGTGCCGTGTGTGCCGTGTGTGCGATGTGTGCCGTGTGTGCCGTGTGTGCTCTGTGTGCCGCCTGTAGTGTGTGCGGTGTGTGTGGTGTGTGCGGTGTGTGCTGTGTGTGCTCTGTGTGCCGCCTGTAGTGTGTGCGGTGTGTGCGGTGTGTGCCGCCTGTAGTGTGTGCGCCGTGCGGTGTGTGCGGTGTGTGCGGTGTTTGCGGTGTGTGCGGTGTGCCGTCTGTAGTTGTGTGTGCCCTGTGTGCCGTGTGTGCGGTGTGCGCCGTGAGTACCCTGTGTGCCGTGTGTGCCGTGTGTGCTCTGTGTGCCGCCTGTAGTGTGTGCCGTGTGTGCTCTGTGTGCCGCCTGTAGTGTGTGCGGTGTGCGTGGTGTATGCAGTGTGTGCGGTGTGTACCCTGTGTGCCGTGTGTGTCGTGTGTGCGGTGTGTGCCGCCTGTAGTTGTGTGTGTGTGTGCCGTGTGTGCCGTGTGTGCTTTGTGTGCCGCCTGTAGTGTGTGCGGTGTGCCGTCTGTAGTTGTGTGTGCCCTGTGTGCCGTGTGTGCGGTGTGCGCCGTGAGTACCCTGTGTGCCGTGTGTGCGATGTGTGCCGTCTGGAGTTGTGCGTGCGGTGTGTGCCGCCTGTAGTTGTGTGTGGTGCAGTGTGTGCGGTGTGTGCGGTGTGTGCCGTGTGTGCTCTGTGTGCCGCCTGTAGTGTGTGCGGTGTGTGCGGTGTGTGCTTTGTGTGCGGTGTGTGTGGTGTTTGCGGTGTGCGCGGTGTGTACCCTGTGTGCGGTATGTGCGGTGTGTGTGGTGTGTGCGGTGTGTGCGGTGTGTGCGGTGTTACCCTGTGTGCCGTGTGTGCTCTGTGTGCCGCCTGTAGTGTGTGCGTTGTGTGCGGTGTGTACCCTGTGTGCCGTGTGTGCCGTGTGTGCCGTGTGTGCCGCCTGTAGTGTGTGCGGTGTGTGGTGTGTGTGGCGTGTGCGGTGTGTACCCTGTGTGCGGTGTGTACCCTGTGTGCCGTGTGTGCGGTGTGTGCCGCCTGTAGTGTGTGCGGTGTGCGCGGTGTGTACCCTGTGTGCCGTGTGTGCTCTGTGTGCCGCCTGTAGTGTGTGCGGTGTGTGCCGTGTGTGCGGTGTGTGCGGTGTGTGCGGTGTGTGCCGCCTGTAGTTGTGTGTGCGGTGTGTGCGGTGTGTGCCGTGTGTGCTCTGTGTGCCGCCTGTAGTGTGTGCGGTGCGTGTGGTGTGTGCTTTGTGTGCGGTGTGTGTGGTGTGCCGTCTGTAGTTGTGTGTGCCCTGTGTGCCGTGTGTGCGGTGCGTGTGGTGTGTGCTTTGTGTGCGGTGTGTGCTCTGTGTGCGGTATGTGCGGTGTGTGTGGTGTGTGCGGTGTGTGCGGTGTGTGTGGTGTGTGCGGTGTTACCCTGTGTGCCGTGTGTGCTCTGTGTGCCGCCTCTAGTGTGTGCGGTGTGTGCGGTGTGTACCCTGTGTGCCGTGTGTGCCGTGTGTGCTCTGTGTGCCGCCTGTAGTGTGTGCGCCGTGCGGTGTGTGGTGTGTGCGGTGTGTGCGGTGTGTACCCTGTGTGCCGTGTGTGCCGTGTGTGCCGCCTGTAGTGTGTGCGGTGTGTGCGGTGTGTACCCTGTGTGCCGCCTGTAGTGTGTGCGGTGTGTGCGGTGTGTGCGGTGTGTACCGTGTGTGCCGTGTGTGCTCTGTGTGCCGCCTGCGGTGTGTGCGGTGTGCGCGGTGTGTGCGGTGTGTGCGGTGTGTGCGGTGTGTACCCTGAGTGCCCGGTACACCTGTGTGTCACCCCCGGGACGCGGCGGCCGCTCACCTCCTTTGCGCAGCAGCTTTCCCTTGATTAGCACCAGCGGCGCCTTCACGGCGCCTACGAGGCCGCCCAGCTTCTGCTTGAGGCCGCTGAACTTGTGCGTGATGCCGCTGATCTTGTGCTTGATGCCGCTGAACAGGCGGCCCTTCTTGGAGAACAGCGAGCCGATGTTGAACTTGCCGCCCTTGCCGCGACCTTTGCCGTAGCTGTGCCCTCCGCCGTGACCTCCGTGACCTCCGCCGTGACCTCCGCCCTGGCGGCAGGCGAACAGGTCAGAGGGTGGTCGTCAGTAGCCACACTGCCGCCAGCGTGGTCATAGGCGCAGCCCAGTGGACCACCCGGCCGCCCAACAGCACACCCGGGAACCAGCCCAGCAGCACATCCGGGAACCAGTCCAACAGCACACCCGGAAATCAGCCCAACAGAACACCCGGGAACCGGCCCAACAGCACACCCGGGAACCAGTCCAACAGCACACCCGGGAACCAGTCCAACAGCACACCCGGGAACCGGCCCAACAGCACACCCGGGAACCAGTCCAACAGCACACCCGGGAACCAGTCCAACAGCACACCCGGGAACCGGCCCAACAGCACACCCAGGGACCAGCCCAACAGCACACCCGGGAACCAGCCCAGCAGCACACCCGGGAACCAGTCCAACAGCACACCCGGGAACCAGTACAACAGCACACCCGGGAACTGCAGTCCAACAGCACACCCGTGGACCAGTCCAACAGCACACCCGTGGACCAGTCCAACAGCACACCCGGGAACCAGTCCAACAGCACACCCGTGGACCAGCCCATCAGCACACCCGGGAACTGGGTCTCAAAGGAGACCCGCTCGCTGGGTCAGATATGTAGATGGGGTTAGGTCAGATATGATGTACGGGACTGGGTTAGATATAGACGGGACTGGGTCTGATATGTACCTACAGGTCAGATATACATAGACGGCCTGTGGGCATTAAATATGTCAAGTTCATGAAAGCTTAAATTGTGTAAAATGCGTGAAATGTGTAATGTGTAAAACGTGTAAAAGCAGGTAAATGTGACTTTACAATACGAGTATGTTAACCCTCGCCCTGGCAGGGCATTTTTCATAACACGGCCTGGCAGGGGGGGGGGGGGTCGATGCGACCCCCCCTCGCGATTGGCTCCTATGGCACCTAGAAACACCAAATTTGGTAGGTAGGTGGGCCCCCTGGAGTTCTCGCCCCTGTGCAAATTTGGTTGCTCTAGGTCAATATTTAGGGGGGTTTTGGGGGGTATAAATGCAAAAATTTCGCTAAAAACAGGTCAAAAGTTTTTCGCTTATAACTTTTGATCTAATTAAGATACAGCAAAAAGAAAAGCACCAGTGAACTCAGCACGTCAAGGCGCGTCGCATGATATACTTTTTAGGTTGCTTAAGTGTACTTAAAGTTTTTCTTAAATTTTAAGTAAACTTAAATTAATAAATTAAGTTAAAGTTAACCAAATTGCATCATATCGCATATCATTCGATTCGGCTGATCACCAGGAACACAATGATACCATTTTTTAAGCTCTAGCGTCATTATGTGCCAAGTTATTGGCAAAAACGTCATTTGACCTCAGTTGACCTCATTTGACCTGACCCATGGATAAGTACACCAAACAAAGAAGCACCAAGTGACCTGCTGTTAATTACTGTGGTTTCAAAGCACAAAAGTGATAGAACGAAGCGGATATCTCCAGTATTTTCCGAATTTAGTATTTTCCCATAGGCTTAACATTACGACGTAATGACCTCTAACTGACCTCAGGTCAGTGACCTCAAAAAACCCGAACTATATGTTATACAACTCGGTGAACTTAGCACATCCTGAAAGTTTGAAGGAAATCAGTGCAAAACTGTGAGTTGGACAGGTGCAAAAAGAAAATTGAAATTTGACCATGACCTTGTACCGGTTTTTCTGACCTGGTGACCTGACCCAAGGTCACCCGGACCTGAAATTTTCAGGTCATATGTAAAAAGGTTGCCCCATAAGCTGTGCCAAATTTGGCGGCGCTGCGCGCCGCCGTTTTTACGCTATCTTCGAAAAACCTTAGGGGGGGGTCGCATCGACCCCCCCCCCCTGCCAGGGCGAGGGTTAAGACTGCTGTAGGTTCTCGGCTGCTGCGGCGGTGCGCGGTGCGCGGACGTCCCTGTTCCCTGACACTGTGCCTGCTGTCCTCGGCTGCGGCGGCGGCGGCGCGTGCACGCGTTACAACACCCGCCGCCACCGGGAGAAATGGCCGGCCGGTGGTCACTGTTAGTGTTCAGCAGCGTAAAAACGGCTCCTCCGATCACGCCAGGAGGAGGTTTCCCCGCCACCAGCACTGTCGTCAGCGGTGTCGTCTTCAACGCAGTCGCCGCCGCTACCGCACGTCCCATCCCGCCCCACCACCGCCGCTGCCACCGCTGTTACCGCCGCTGACCACTGGACGGCAGCTGGCACTGCTGTCATTGCTATCGCTGCCGCCTCTGTCGGCGGTACCACTGGCTCAGCCTACACACGCTGCCACCGGCCAGTTGCAGCGGTGTGCCGATAAACCAGCTCAGGGGCGCTGGATGCGCCGTGCAGCGGGCAATGCGGCGTCGAGCGTAAGTCAAGCTTTTGGTGCTCCGAGATCGATTCAATATAGCAATTATGTGAACATTAGTCAACTGTATGTATTGTTGGACCCACAAAGCTTTCGGCGTGCAATTTGAAAACGTGAATGCTGCACACCTAGGCGGGAAGGAGGTCGGAAAACAATTGGTTTTGCAGCGTTCTTCTTGTTACGAATGCCTTTAACAGTGACCAAGACATTTTCATCGGTGCACGCCATCCGGCTGGTAATTTACGAGCTAAAGAGCCGATGATGCACGCGCGCGCTAGCGGCTAACCAGACGGAAATACGCGCGCTAACCAGCCGGTAAAACCCGCGCTAACCAGCCGGTAACAGGCCGGTAACACCCGCGCTAACCAGCCGGTAACAGGCCGGTAACACCCGCGCTAACCAGCCGGTAACAGGCCGGTAACACCCGCGCTAACCAGCCGGTAACAGGCCGGTAACACCCGCGCTAACCAGCCGGTAACAGGCCGGTAACACCCGCGCTAACCAGCCGGTAACAGGCCGGTAACACCCGCGCTAACCAGCCGGTAACAGGCCGGTAACACCCGCGCTAACCAGCCGGTAACAGGCCGGTAACACCCGCGCTAACCAGCCGGTAACAGGCCGGTAACACCCGCGCTAACCAGCCGGTAACAGGCCGGTAACACCCGCGCTAACCAGCCGGTAACAGGCCGGTAACACCCGCGCTAACCAGCCGGTAACAGGCCGGTAACACCCGCGCTAACCGCGGCGCCGGACGGCGGCTTTTCGTAATGCGGCGCGTGAGCCGCGACTTTCTCCCCGCGGCGACGGCGGCATCCGGCGGCGGCGGGCACTTAGTGGAGATCAACACCGCCGAGTGGCGCGTCAGCAGCCGCCGCCGACCCCCACACGGCGTCAGCTGACCGCGTGTGTGACGTCATCGGTCCCACTACGTCACAGGAACGGCAGCAGCAGCACGGCGAGAGACCGCCCCCAGGGAGGAGAAGCCGGGCCGGGGGCTGGGCTTGTCTGGGTGAGGAAGGAGCAGTACAGATGCATCCGAACGCCACCCAACAATTGTTTCGGTGGTATATAGTGCCGCTATTCTCCCTGTCGAATACCGCTGGACAATGTCCAGTGGACATATCTGATATTGCACGGACTCACGGAGAAAGTTAGAGTCTGGGGACAGACACTGTGCGCAGGACGCTGAGACAGATTCGGTCGGAGGACGGACACTGTGCAGTGTGCACAGGACGCTGAGACATATTCGGTCGGAGTTGGAGGACGGAGACTTTGTGCACAGGACGCTGAGACAGATTCGGTCGGAGGACGGAGACTGTGCAGTGTGCACAGGACGCTGATACAGATTCGGTCGCAGCCGCAGCGGCATGGTAATGGGAACGGGGGGTGCTGAGTTGAATGGGGATACGGGAGGACGGGAGGTCTATCGACACCGGATAAATGCCTTTCGACATTACTGGGTGCTGCTGCAGAACTGCCAGCTCGTGTGTGCTATGAGGGTCCGACAGTCGGGTCAGTCCCGTTAGGTCAGTCCCGTCAGGTCAGTCCCGTCAGGTCAGTCCCGTCAGGTCAGTCCCGTCAGCCAGGGCTGCGGAGTCGGAGTCGGAGTCGGAGTCGGAGTCGATTTTAGAAACCCGAGCCGGAGTCGGAGTCGGAGTCACCGAAAATCTGTCGACTCCGCAGCCCTGCTAGGTCTGCGGAGTCGGAGTCGGGAGTTGGAGTCGGTCGGAGTCGACGATTCTGCCCGGAGTCGGAGTCGGAGTCGGAGCTGGTTTTTGAAAGCCGGAGTCGGAGTCGGAGTCGGAGTCGCCGAAAATCCATCGACTCCGCAGCCCTGCGGCGTCAGCCGCCGGCTGTCGTGTACAGGCTCACCGGCCGACACCCGTGTCGTGTCCCGTGTGGTCCCTTTGAGACCGTTTCCCCCCGTGTCCGCTGTGTTCCTGGTGTCAGTTCCGCCGGGCCGCTCTGAGGTCCGGATCAGCCGGATCATCCCCGCAGGATCAGCCGGATCATCCCGCAGCTGGTCCGCTCAGCATTGTCACACCGACAAGGCTCGCTGGATTCGCCCTAATTTCGGACCCCCGGTCCCCGACGCCAGCAAACGAACCAAGCAACGCCGGCCGGAGGGTCTCCAAAGTCCAACATCCGGCCACTGGCCCATACTAATCAGCATGGTACTGTCACGACAGAGAGCGCTTCTTAGATGAAAAAAATAGTCAAACAATCATAGAAAGAACATTTTCGATGGCCCGTTTCTTAGGTAGATATAATTAGGGACAGCATACTCGTAAATTTAGAAGGAACAATTTTAGGCAGTAGGTATAATTATGATTGATCAGGTCTGAGACAAGTTGTATTATAATGGGATAGACAATGGGAACAATTTTGAGTTATATTCTTTTGAATTGGCTTCACATGTGTTTCGACAAAATGCCTTTTTCAAGCCTAACATCCCAAATGACAACAAATGGGCCAGTGTTTTGAATTGTTGTCATTTGGGATGTCAGGCTTGAAAAGACATTTTGTCGAAACACATGTGCAGCCAATCCAAAAGAATGTAACTCAGAACAATTCCCATTGTCTATCCCATTATAAAAGGTGTAATCATCGAAAGCACGGTGCTAGTTGGGTACTAGTAAGAAAAC